ACTCATTCATTCTGGAGATGTCTTGGTCTTATGATACAAATCCAGAGTCTTGTTGGTAGGTGTACGGTCTTCCTTTGCTCATGCTCTCTACCTAAGGCTTCACAATGCTCTCCAACATGATATCTGCCTCATTACTCACAGAATCGTCACAATTTCTGGAAATTTTGTTTGCAGGACCATTGGAACGTTCTTAGGGACACTGTATAATCATCTTCAGTTGAACATTTGGTCCTGATCAAAGTTTTTCTTATCAAAGAATAACCAAAGCATTTAGTATTTCAACTTGCTTAACAAGCGCTTTGCTTGGATCAGACGGTTATCTTTTGTCTTTGCAGAGGAACAAGAAGGAAAGAAAAGTAGCGAAATTATGCGAAATTCTTTTTGATATAAAAATGAAGAGAAAAATTAAATTAATGCGAGAAGAATGTCTCAAGTCATGTGAAAAGTTTCGTTTCAGTTCCTCGCAACATGCGTTGAAGTTCTCGCCAGTTTCAAATTATTCGCCAATTATATTATCGGCCGCTAACCAAGTAGGGAGTACTTTAGACAATTTTCTCCCAACAATTCAAGAAAGTTAAGTAAATTAACTCTCTTTGTCTACTTTTGAAAGTATGCAAATCATATACCCCTTCGGTGAGCAACGAACTCTGTTACATTTGTTTTAAACAATTTTAGATATTACTAGCAGTAGAGCCCGGCGTTGCCCTGGGATGTAACAGTAAGAGATAGATCAAGTATCGACCATCATAAAGACTGAAAAATAAAATTGACAAAGATTATTAAGGTTGACGGACATGCATGTCTTAATTTTTTTTTTTTTTTTACGAATTTGTCAAACCCAAACTCAAACAAAAACATTGTTTTTCAATCGTTATGAGTCTACCGATTGAATAGAATTTTTATTATAAACAATTGTCTTGTAAATGGAATTTTTAAAAGCATTCTGAATGTAAAAATAAAGAAAAAAAGTGTGCAAGACAATAAGAAACACTACCTGCCAAAAAAAAAAAAAGTGAAGTTTTGTTGAAATCGGTTGAAAAATGTAGGAAATCTGATCCCATGTATAAACGAACACACACACACACACACACACACACACACACACACACACACACACACATACAACCTGGGTTTTATAATAAGTATAACTCGATATGAGTTGTCCCCCTTTCATTCCGGTGACAGTGATGCCCCTTAATCGTGTTTTCAAATTGATTTCGTGCAAAAACAATTGTGTTTTTCCAATTTTTGACGCTGTTAGAACCACCGCAAGGTAATTTTACGTAGTCCTGTGAAATTTTGTTGAAATCGGTTGAAAAATGTAGGAAATCCGATCCAATATATAAACGAACAGGCACTCGCACACAACCTGGGTTTTATAATAAGTATGATTTTGTGTCAGATCATTTAATATTGTATGAACATTTCCTCTTCATGACTATACTTTAAAATTACGGGCTTTAAGAATTTTTATTTATTTTCCTGAAACGAACTACTGACACTACTTCAAGCATATAAAATCGTGAATAAATTTATTTTGTTAGAATTACCTTCTTGGTGTGGGTAAATCAACTGTTCATTTTAGCCACTAAATTTCACGCCACTATACACTATAGAAGCAGTAACAGCCCTTAATAAACTTAGTATCAGCAGCAGCTCTGGAGGTATAAAAACAACGCGAATCCTTAAACTATTTCTCTTTCGAACTATGCGACATGAACTTTTCGCACTGAGCAAAAAGGGCTGTGAACACTTCACACTAAAACACGCCTACACAGTAAGTCACACTCAAATATATTCATTATCATTTCGTTGTGTATGTAATTTACTTCTAAGAAAAGAAACTCTTGTCTTTAACTTTCCTTTTGTTGGGTTTATTTAATAAATATTATCTTGCATTATAAATCAATTAGTCTGTTATTTTGTGCATGTACCCTTTCACCACCATTAATGCACTATTCCAACTTTCATTCGTAAATCTAGCCCTCTGATTGGTTAATTTCTACCAATCAGGTCGCCCGCACGTGCACTTCGAAGTTTTGGCGCAAAATCGCTCTGGATCCACCCACGCAATTATGACTTCTTAAAAAGAACCCAAAGCACGTGTGACCACGCAGAGGCAGAAGCAGACCTGGGCAGATCATTTTTCGACCGCTGACTCAAGCTTAAAAATGTGACGACTACTAATTACCGTCTCGCTAATCGAGACAACAAATCTTTCCCGTTCAATATCTTCTACGAACTTCTTCGTCATTTAAGAATCTCAAACTATACATTCTCTTTGATCATCTACGATAAATCAGTCCGTCGAACGAACACAGAGATATGCTAACATAATCTACGTCGCTTGCAACTGCAATCTTCCCGCGCAAACTAAATCACAACTGACTCACTCGCAATCCCAAACCGAAGAAAACTCTGTGAACACCGAAACTTCTATCCGAACAACTTTACTTATCTAAAGTGAATTAACACTCACTTGTTGGGATTGCTATGGGTTTGTATTTGGTATCAGAAGGTTTTTATTTTTAGATGGTTAGTTTTTACGGGCATGTTCAAAATATTTATCCGCAACAATATAGACATTCATAAAAAAACGAATCAATCAACAGGCAAGTGAGTAAAAAACACCGATTATCAGATTTCAATAGAACAAAATGCATTTATGTACAAATATACAATTTTGAGAATAAAATTGATTTGAACTTAAATGGACAAATGAAAATAGGTGTATTTGGCTGTGTAGAATATTATTGTGAATGTTTGAAGGTGTTTGCAATTGCTATTCAGATTTGTTCACAGAATTAAACTAAGTGTCCAGTTACGTACTAAATTGTCCTTTGTGCTAGTTCAGTTATTAATGTGTGTGCGTAAGTATGTTTGTATAATTGGCAGGAGTTGCGTACCTTTAGTTGTGTGAGAATTTGATTGTTTGTTTACTAATACTTATTAAGTAGTGAGAAGAAAATGTCACTTTTCAAAGTATTGTAAGTGATGTTCTTGAGAGAGATAGAGTGTGTTTGTGGATTGTTGAGTCAGATATTTTGCGCGGCAAAGTCCTGGTTGGTCAGAGTTTTGACTTGCGTGGGTCAGTTTGGTATTGTAGAATCAGATTCCCACATTTTTTTAAATCTTAAATTTTGTGCAAGTTAAACACATAGAGGTTCCCAGCCAAATATAACAACTGATGTATTTTGATTGGTTGTAAAATATTAATTAGGTGCCGTCAACTACGTCCGAAGGTACCGACCCAAATTTTGACCTCTAGTTGACGCCATAAAATGTAAACATGTTTACGAGCCTCCCCACGTGACCAAGAGAACTAATAAAAACGAAACTTCGACGCAACTTGGTCAGTGGGCACTTAAAATATTGAAACCAATTCACTTGACTTCATTGGAAATCAACACAGCAAAGGAGACGAACTTTATCTTCAATACAACAACAAACTTTGTCAACCATCTCCAGGCTTAACGCTCACTCCTGTCAGAGTTAACTCCTCCTTCAGCCCGGTAACCCTTTCACCAGGGGTCTCTCTTCCCTGGCTATAAATAGCTGCTGACTCTTCACCTCCCTCTCTTTTTTTCCTTCAGGCCTGTGCACTGACACCTTGAGGTAAACTCTCTTATTCCTAGAGAATTTTCAGCTATCAACCTCGAAATGTAGTCGTTAACAAGGGATAGCGTGGAAACACGCTAAGCAGAATATTCACACACGCACGCACACACAGAATATTCACACACGCACGCACATACAGAATATTCACACACGCACGCACATACAGAATATTCACACACACTTCGTCCTTTGTACTGTTTCCGTGTATTGTAACTTGTTATTAATATATATTTGTATATACATATATTATCGGTCTTGTTTTGTTTGTTTTCTTTACCTTCTGTTTGATTATTTATCTTGTTGTTGTCTTTGTTACATTTGATATTGTAAAAATTGTAGAGGGTCAGTTTTCATTTCTATTTATAACCAATACAAATTGGCTGACCCACTATAAATTGGTGACCCCGTAGTTCAAATGTGCAAAGCAATATTTTAAAAACAGCATTTTATAAGAGAAATACTTTAGTTGTCCCGTTTTAAACGAAAATAATGGAAAATTCTACCAGCGAACATATTGAAGCGGCAATTTCCATCAGTCTACCGACGTACAACCACAACAACGTTCAAGTGTGGTTTGCGCAGTTAAACGCAATTTTCAATGCAAGAAAGGTCACGTCTCAACATGCCCGTTACGCTTTTGTAGTTGAGAAACTTCCCTCAGATGTAGTATTAGAGGTAGCAGACCTCCTCAGTGAAGTGCCGGCGGAGAAACCGTATGATACTTTGAAAGATGCTATACTATACCGCACGGGCGAATCAGAGGAACGTCGGTTGCACGATTTGTTTAACAACCTTCATTTGGGACACTATAAACCTTCCCAATTGCTTAGAAAGATGAAAGCTTTACTAGGTGACAATACCATGTCTGACACAGTCCTCCGTAAACTATGGATGGATAAACTGAGCCGACAAACATCACAAATATTAGTGTCACTTCCGGACGATTTGGACCTACAGCGATTGGCAGAAATCGCGGACAAAATATATGAGAATAAACCTCCGGGAACTGCTTCTGCGACACCACTACAACCTATTGTCTCTTCAGTCCGTGACTCACAAGAGTTATCGAAAATTAAAGATTGTATAGCAGAGCTTACCTCACAGTTACAAGCTCTACAAACCGCTATGCATCAGCAAAATCGCACGCCCAACAATTTCACTAGTCGACCACATCCATCACATCATACTAGGCGAAGATCACGTTCCACATCCAGAAGCAGGCCTATATTTAATACCTGTTGGTATCATTTTAAATATGGACAACAAGCGCGGCATTGTACGAAACCGTGTAGCTTCGACATAAACGCAGCTAAGGATAACAACACACAGCAGTCGGGAAACGACTATCCCGGCAACAAGTAGAGACGTTTGTTGCCGGAGGGATGCCAAAAAGTCGTCTCTTTTACATCCGAGATGAGAACTCCGGATACTTGTTTTTAGTGGACACTGGGGCACAAATTAGGGTCATACCAGCCAAGCCTAATATGTTGACTAGAAAGACAGATTATACGTTACAAGCGGCGAATGGATCTTCAATCCAGACATATGGTGAAACCTCTTTAACCCTAAATCTGGGATTTAGGCGATCTTTTCCGTGGGTATTCACGATAGCTCAAGTTCGAACCCCAATCCTAGGAGCGGATTTCCTCGCCCACTTTAACTTGTCCGTTAATATGTCTTCCCTTTCTTTGGAGGGTAAAACGACCAACATTACAAAGAAAGGAATTACATCTATTTATACGAGCACATGTATCAGCGCAACTCTACCTGAAGCCAACGGAATGCAGGATCTGTTACAAAAATATTCTCAAATTACAACACCATTCCGGTATACAGAAACCGTTCGACACAATGCTGAGCACCACATTGATACTACGGGCCCACCCACGCATTCATCTCCACGGCGATTGAGGCCTGATAAATATAAACTGGCGAAAGACGAGTTTCAGCACATGCTGGACCTCGGTATAATTAGACCTTCTTCGAGTCCTTACTCATCTCCTCTTCATATGGTTCCAAAACCGGACTCAGGAGCTTGGAGACCTTGTGGCGACTTCCGGAAGCTGAATGCTACTACAATTCCGGATAAATACCCCATCCCGCACTTGCACGATTTCGCAGTGGGTCTGCAGGGCGCCACAGTCTTCACCAAACTTGATCTGGTGAAAGCATTCCACCAGATACCAGTGGCCAAGGAAGACATCCATAAAACAGCAATAACTACTCCTTTTGGCTTATACGAATTTGTGAGAATGCCATTTGGTTTAAGGAACGCTGCACAATCTTTCCAACGGCTTATAGACGAAGTGCTGAGAGGTTTACCTTTCACCTTTGCCTATATTGATGACGTCCTGATCGCCAGTAGAAACAAGACTGAACATCGTCACCACGTTGAACAAGTTTTCCAGCGTCTACAGCATTTTGGCCTTAAGATTAACGCAGAGAAATGTATTTTTGCTGTGCCCTCGCTTAAATTTTTGGGACACGTCATTGACGAAAAGGGAATAACGCCCTTACCTGAGAAAATAGAATCTATTTCAAATTTCTCATAACCAACTTCACTCCGGCAGTTACGCCGATTCTTAGGCCTCATTAATTACTACCGGAGGTTCATTCCTGGTTGTTCCCAGATTCTGATTCCCCTCCCAGATTTACTGCAACAACAGCGTCAGAAGAACTCAAAGATTACCTTGGAAGGCGAATCACTGACTGCTTTTCACAGAGCCAAAGACGCCCTTGCCAACTTTACGAAGTTATCATATATAACCGATGATGACTCAATGATCACACTGACAACAGACGCATCAGGCGACTCCATAGGGGCTGTGTTTCACCAGGAACAGGGCGATGCTAAAAAACCTATTTCGTTCTTTTCAGTCAAGCTAAACTCATCTCAGAAAAAGTACAGCGCATTTTCAAGGGAATTACTGGCAATATACTTGGCAATCCGTCATTTCCGTCATCTTTTGGAAGGACGGAATTTTGTGGTCTATACAGATCATAAACCATTAATTTATGCTCTGCACGCCAAGTCGGACAAATATACCCCAAGGGATATCCGACAATTGGATTATATTTCCCAATATACGTCGGATATCCGCTATGTAAAAAGGGGCTGACAATATAGTAGCTGATACCCTATCGCGATCAACGATACAGTCAATTGACGCACAGACCTTGAATTTCGACTCCTTAGCGGAAGAACAAAAGACTGACACTACTTTGGAATCAGTAAAGAAAAAACGTCACTACAGTTAAAGCAACACCCTGTGCCATTTGGTAACACTACTGTCTATTGTGATGTAAGCACAGGATACTCTAGGCCCTATGTACCACCTTCTTTGCGAAAAAAGTATTCGAACATTTCCATTCTCTGTCGCACCCTGGTCGAAGAGCGACTACTAAGATGATTAGTGATCGTTTCGTTTGGCCAAAAATGTCCAGTGACATAAAACACTGGACACAGACTTGTTTAAAATGCCAGCAAACTAAAATACAACGGCATACCAAGTCTCCGCCTGGTACATTCTCTAGGCCTGATGGTAGGTTCACCCACATTCACGTTGACTTAGTGGGCCCTTTGCCCGACATTGATGGGTACCGATACTTATTAACAATAATCGATCGTTTCACTCGTTGGCCTGTAGCCGTTCCTTTAAAAAGTATTTCAGCGGAAACGATTTCCAGGTGCATTCTTAGAGAGTGGATCTCTATCTTTGGTTGTCCTTCAATAATAACCACTGATAGAGGTTCCCAGTTCCAGTCAGTCCTTTTCAATGAATTTATAAACTTGTTAGGCGTAAAGCACATTTCTACAACCGCCTACCATCCATGTGCAAACGGCCTTGTGGAACGATTTCTTAGGCAACTTAAGGCAGCATTAGCAGCAAGTGATGACTCCAGGACTTGGCTGGAAAACCTACCACTGATTTTACTGTCATTAAGAAATGTAGTCAAAGAGGACTTAGGATGCACTACAGCAGAACTAGTTTTTGGGAGTACGCTAACACTCCCTGGACAGTTCGTGGAAAAAGCATACTCCTTCAGACCGACTACCTATTTCGTCCAGGATTTTAAACAAAAATGGAAAACCTAGCTTTTACTCCAACGCGTGCCGAAACAAGGGAGTTCTTTATGCCTAAAAATTTAGACAGTTGTGATTACGTCTTCCTGCGAAAAGATGCAGTTAGAAGACCCTTAACCCCCCACGTATTCTGGTCCACATAAAGTAATTAATAGAACGTCCAAGCATTTTACTTTACTTTTTGCACGGAAAGCCCTAACACAGTGTCAGTCGACCGGTTGAAACCGGCTTACATCGATTTATCTCATAAATCGCTTCCTGACCCTGAGCTAACATCTTCGACCCAGCCAGCGCAGCTTGCACCTTCTGTACCACCCGCGGAAGTTACTACTAAGTCTGGCAGACATGTTCATTGGCCTAGTAGATTGAAAACGTATATTACATATTGAGAAAATTTTCTCTCAAAAACTTTCACAATCTGCGGGGGGTGGTTATTGTAGAATCAGATTCCTACATATTTTTAAATCTTAAATTTTGTGCAAGTTAAACACATAGAGGCTCCCAGCCAAATATAACAACTGATATATTTTGATTGGTTGTAAAATATTAATTAGGTGCCGTCAACTACGTCCGAAGGTACCGACCCAAATTTTGACCTCTAGTTGACGCCATAAAATGTAAACATGTTTACGAGCCTCCCCACGTGACCAAGAGAACTAATAAAAACGAAACGTCGACGCGACTTGGTCAGTGGGCACTCAAAATATTGAAACCAATTCACTTGACTTCATTGGAAATCAACACAGCAAAGGAGACGAACTTTATCTTCAATACAACAACAAACTTTGTCAACCATCTCCAGGCTTAACGCTCACTCCCACAAAATATTCCACAAGAATCTCTGGTTAATGAGCGATAACAATCAGTGAGTCAAGAACAATACTTTTTTCTATTTAATACACAAAAAAACATCTGTTTAATTTTCCTATAAAAACAAATATAGCTAACTAAACCTTGTCATTTTTCACACATACAGTACAGTAGCTCAAATTCTTTCAGTAACACACACACCAAAAGAACTCTATTGTGTTTATCAACTTTTTGCACTATATATTATGTATTTGTTGTATTTATAAAAAATATTTATTGTTGAACAAATTCACATTTTCTTCTACTTGATTATTTCTCTTGTTGTTGTCTTTGTTACATTTGATATTGTAAAAATTGTAGAGGGTCAGTTTTTATTTCTATTTATAACCAATACAAATTGGCTGACTACTATAGTATCTCTCTAGGAATGTAGATCTGACAATATTTATTATTGAAATACAATAAATGTGGCACAAGGCCGAAAAGGGGGTTGGGATAAAGGACGGTCATCACTTGTCTTAGTATAAAACTTAGCTAGCCACAACCACTGACCCTATCATACAAAACAATATTCCTTTCACCAAAACAACACATTTATCCATACCTTTCTTACTACGTTCACCAAAATGCCTCTTTGACTCAATGAAAATCCTAAATACTCCCCTAATGTACAAGTATTGTCTGGGGGGGGGGGCATAAAAACAACAATTTTTTAAAAAGATCCCCAATGAGTATATACAAAATGACAAATATAATTACAAGAAACTAAACAAAATTAGTGTTAGTACTAAAAAACCCCACAAACTTTAAATGTGGCAGAAATATTAGTTAACCGGACGAAATCGATGCGGGACTTATGAAAATAAAAGACACACTCATTCCTCCCAAGCATTCACACAGGCACACACTCATTCATACACAACAACAAATACGAAAACACACACACTAAACGAAAGGCGCCCCGCATCCACCAGAGAACTGACATCACTGACCACCTAAACGAGGGAGGGGATGGGGAGTTAAACTAAAGGAAGAAAAATGGGGACAGAAATAAAAGGGACTAATGAGCAAACATGCCCTAGCTAAGTTTACTGAAAAAGAGAAAAACTAAAACTCAAAAAACAAGACCTATGCTAACCTAATTTCGGGATGGGTTGCCTATGTTGAACCCAGGAAAACAATATCCTAATGCCTAACCGGCATCCAAATGCCACTCAAGGTCAGCCCCTTTTACTCGGCACATACGCGCAAGATTCACCCACCTTTTGCCAAATTCTGATGAGGTGAGCCGCCGCCTTTCCGTCCTAATCTTGACTTTAAGCAGATGCTTAAAGATCAGTTGGGAAGAAGTGAACTCCTCGCCCTCATAGAATCCCTTCTGACGCGTCGTCCAAATCACGACTCTCATAACCCCTAGTAAGCAACAGAACACATAGTGTTCAGCCTTCGTCATCTGCGGCACCACATTGCAACAAACAGAACCGGCTTCTAGGACAAAAATCTTTCCCCGCAGCATGCGAACCATGAGGCCTTCAACAAACTTGCACAACGGCACTACTACCCTGCACTGAAAGAAGGCGTGACCGATGGTCTCGACTTCCCCCGTACAGCGACGACAGTTTGGATATTTCTCCAAGCCTGCTGAACAAAATCTCTTGCCGACCCAGAGGGCTTCACGAATCACCAGCCAGGTGAGTGATGCCTGATCGTTATTGAGGCATTTCAACCCAGGCGCCCAAGGCCATATTGAGCGAGCCTCCTGCTTCGTAAGACCGAGCTCGCCAATTAGATCATCTTGTACGGCTCCCCTAACTAACACTTGAAACAATGCCTTGCGAGACAACGCCTGGGCGTTGGAGAGGCCATCCGAAGCCCGTAAGAGGAGCTTTAGAGCGCGACGACATTCACGATGAAAGGAGCACTCGGCTCGTGGTGTACGGCCGGCCTCTTCTTCGCACGAGTGCACACTTCTCAGGGACGGGAAATGTTTCTGGACGTCTTCTTTCCAAAAGGCACCCTCCTCATCCGACCCGCGACACATTCGGTCTAGAAAGGTAATGCGAAGCATATATTGACGAATCTCAATGCTAGGCATACTCAGACCGCCCTCAGAGGGATGAAGGCAACAGATCTCGCGAGATACCATATGGGCCTTGCCTCTCCACAAGAAAGAGAACAAGGTCCGGACTAATGACATTAGTCGGGCATACGGGAGTGGAAGCACAGAGAGTCGGTACAGGAGGATCGGATGGATGTGTGAAACACATACTTCCGCCCTTCCCTTCAGGGAAAGTCTCCTCCGAGACCACAGATTAACCGCGATCTCGGCCTTTCCTTGTGCCTCCGACCAGTTCATTTCCAACTGGAGATCAGGACCGAACCAGACGCCGAGTATCTTGATCGGCACATCCGTCCAGAGGAAAGGTCCGGGAAGAGAAACTCCCTTCCACGCACCCAACCGCAAGCCCACAGACTTATCGCGGTTGATCTTGGCTCCTGTCACCATCTCATACCCACTGATCTCTTTGCTGACTTCGTCAATCTCAGCTCTGCTCGACACAAGAGCCGAAATGTCGTCAGCATAGGCAGAATACCTGGCTGAGGTGGTAGCCCCAGGCAGGGTAATTCCGCGCAGGACCGGATTCGCCTTTAACTTTC